GAATGAAATTTGAAATCTGTCGATGAAATTTGATGTAGCTTTCTATAGCATTTTCAAAAATGAGACACTGTTAACAGTATTGAAGATTTTCTGGTAGGGCACAGGAAAATGCTAATTTTTTCGGCAAACTTCGATTGCAAAAATCACTTGGCGGAAACTCATCATTTGTCACCGATATTATCCTCCATTAGTTTTAACTGGGACCCATGCTCTGGAACGGAGATCCAGTACCCTATAAAATCCTGGCTCCGCCACTAGTTGTAGCGTACTAATAAAAAGTGAACGCATTACTAGAATTAGTCAGTATTCTTAGTCTATTATAGTTTTATCCAGGTCATATGTGATAAAATAAAATGCATGAAGCATTATTAGCTTTGTCGTCGCATGTAAAAAGCATGTGTATGTATATAACTGTAGCATATTTACCCATCAACGACAAAAATGTCTTCACAGATTTTATTATATAACCATATATAAAGCAAATATTCGCGAGAGAAGAAAGAAAAAAATGAAAGTAACAACAAAAGTATGACGAATTCAGTTTAGTAAATTCCGAGCGTCGAAATTGTTATAGAAAGCGAATGACCATTGCGACGAAAACCATGAGCTACCTAATTTGACTTATATTATAAATCGACATCTTATAGGTCAGTGCCAATCCGAATATAAATCCTCAAGTTCAAGAATAGATAGGAGTAGATTTAGTTACACATATGTACAGCGGCAGATAGAAGTTTATTTTTATATATCTCGACTAAGGGTATTGATGAGAGTGTGTATGATAAAATCTACTCCTATGTATGTGTAGGAGTGTATTAAAAATGCTTCATTCATATTACAAGTTGAAGTAGACAGCTACTCATTACCCTTCGGTCAATCCTTACGGCATGTATTAATAACTTTCGCCTAGTTGGCCTGTGGTTAATTGATCGTTAATAATTAATTGAAACTAGTCTCATACTCGAGCTCTCCGATAGGATAGAACAGACAAACAAACTTTCAGTATTTCGAGTCACCGATTTACCCGCTGTGTACTCCTATCCAGGGATGCCAAATATAAATTTTCAAAATCAGGATTTTTCAGAAAAAAATCAGGAGTTTATCAGGAGATTTTTCATCTCAAATCAGGAGCTTTTTGTACGAAATCCCAAAGGCTATTAGATGACATTCCACTGGATTATCCCAAGCACTAACCTGCTTGATCAATGCGAATACTTTCCTGCATTTTGATGGCAGAATAATTACTAAAAAAGTTTCTAATAATCGAGTCAGAATCGAAAACATAGAATTGAAGAATTTTTTCATCGACCTTTATTTCATGAATAGTTATTCAAACATTGAAAAAGACATAGAAAATCAAAATCAACTAACTATTAATTTACAAATCAAAACGTATCAAGTAAATGCATACATGATCATTATTTTCAAACGATTCGTGGGATCTTTGCAACATGACTATACTTATCTGACGATCAAATTTTTTTCAGCAAATCGTGTTTTGTCAAAAGATATTTATAGAACTCTTTACACGTTAAATGAGTATTCATTTGGATTTTCAACTCGGCTCCCACCAGATCGTGGCTCATCCGACTTCGATTGTTACTCCACAAATATTTCATGTGGCTGAAGGTGGACTCACAGTAAGCATTCGATGCAGGAATAGAAAAGACAAATTCGATCAGTTTTCGTAAATTCGGTGTACGTTCTCCATTTAACAAGTATGCCCATAAATGATCTGTTCGAATACCATTGGTTGTCTCTTTACGTTTATAAATATTTGAATCTTGTTTACGATCATCAAAACCGTCATCGTTTTCTTGTTCTTCGGCAGGATCAGGATTATCTTCGACCTCACAATCGCCACATAACTCAGTTACATGATTAATTGGTAATAAACGATTGCACTTGATTTCCAATTCCACCAGATTTATCTTTTAAATCAATGTATTTTGATTTAATGTGATTGAATTCATCATATAAATGATCAAAATCAATGATTTGATTAACAACAGAGGTGCAACATTGCTGAACACGTTTCCATTCGATTTTGTCGATTTCGAGCTCACCAAAGATAGAAATTGATTGATAAAAAAGTTTATATTTGTCAAAATATTTCTCGATGTATTCAATCACCGTACGAATAAAACATTTGAATGATGAATGTAGCCTTTCAATTTCTTGAATTGGATAATCTTCCATCAGTTGAGAAACTTTACAACCAAAAATCTCGTCATTCAAACAACTCTTTAATTTACGAAGTAAATTCGAAATAATATCATGTAAATTGGCACCAGCTGTGTACTCTTGTTGTAATAGCAAATTTGCATTTTGAATCTTAGGTAAAATATTTGCCAAAAAGTGCAAAGCACATTCGCCTATACATAAACGAGCCAAAATAACATATAAGCATGTNTCTATGACTAAAAGGCGTATTTTTTCGTACACGTCGTATATGCTGACTTTTGTGCTCGTTCAAATATTAGCAGATCCTACAATGCGAAGGTTTAACATCCTGTAACTTTTCTTTTAGTATTGTTTCATAGAACTCGAGAAGCTCTACAAAGCTGCGTAGGTAGAAGATCTATAAATGCGTGGTCCGCATATCGATTACCCTGAAGAACCCTCGAAAAGAGATTTTCCGCAGGGATTTCATATATTTGGATCCTACTCATGATCAATGAGAGTGGTCCGCCAAGTTGATTTGCATCTCATCAGATAGAACTCGGCGAGCTTTACGGACGTAGATGGCAGACTGGTTTGTAAAGTGGTGAATTGCATCTGTGGTTTATATCAAGGGTCATAGGATTTACAAGAACTGATCGGAAATGGAATGAACAAAGGCATCTAAAAGTTCATCGTGTTGCAGCTCTCTAAAGGCTTTCCCAATTCACAATCTGGACGAATACTCCGGTAGCGCGTCAAAAATTCATGTGTTGTTCAAGTTTATTCCCAAGTTACTCTTCATCTGTGCTGTCATACACGTCGGATATCTAAGTGGCGTCATGGAAAAGATTCACATAATTTTCAGAAGATATTTGACGGTGCTCGGTTACCCATCTTTTGAATGAGAGAAACCAGATCGCACTTACAATATGACTGCAACATCCTACATGACGATTTCCAATCGGACAATCGCACTACCAATTAAAAATCTGTTCTGTGGAAAATTCAATAACCGGACGGTAAGTAACACGGCCGCTGTGAGCTGATTGAGTAGGCACACGTATGATGTTCTGATAGTCTTTCGATCTCTGGAGCGGATAATCAATGTCATTGGTAGTATGAGTTGCCGAAGATCTTCCTTGTGCATAAGATCTTGCCCTTCTCAATTGAAAAACGCCTTCAAGACCAAAAAATCCATGTTATATAAGTTCGAATAAACAGAATGTTTACCAAACGTGACATTTTCAACATCTTTTTCGGATAAGACAGGGAATGCTGTGAGAATGTCCTGATGATCTATATTCTCCGATTTTCATGGAGATCTCATCAATTGGTTTCGCTGAAGAAACTGAAAGCAGGCAAAATGCACGGCACTATAATGGAACGGAAATAAATAGATTGAATTACCTGTTTGAATGTTTTGTTCTTATTTAGTGTAGATAACATTGGTTGTGCTATTCTTTCCGTTTCAGAAGTTGAGGTAATCGTCGGTCTCAAATACTGGTTCATGAGAGAGCATACAATTAACATGTATGCTTCTAAATGCGGTAATGAAGAAATCTGCACGGTATTGGGGAAGAACTTGGACTGCTTCATTCTTCCATTCACTGCCTCCACAATCGGAGTTGCCAAATGTAAATTTTAGAAATCAGGATTTCTTGAAAAAAACAGAAGTTTGTCAGGAGATTTTTTTTCTCAAATCAGAAAGAAATCAGGAGTTTCTTTCCTCGAAAACGCAAGAGTTATTATATGAATCCTAATAGATAAATCCATGCACTTGCCTGTTTAATCAATACGGAAATCTTCCTGCATTTTGTAACAATATAATTTGTAAAAAAAACGTGTTCTATAATTGAGTAAAACCGAAAAAAAACAGAATTAATAGTTTTTTTCTCAATATTTAGTTCATCAATAGTTATTAGAGCATTTAAAAAGCTATAGAAAATCAAAATTAACTAGTTGCCCTTTTACAGATCAAAACGTACAAATAGAGATACGTATAATCATTATTTTCAAGCAATTATTCCAATTTTCGCAATAAATCGGGTTTAGTCAAAAGATATTCATAAAATGCTTCACACGTTAAATGAGGATTCTTTTGGATCTTCAGCTCTGCTCCAACCAAATCATATTTCATTCGTTTTCGATTGTTATTTCAGAGATATTTCATATGGCTAAAAATAGATTCGCAGTAGGCATCGATGCAGAAATAGAAAAACGAATTCAATTAATTTTCGTAGATTAGGTACATCTTCTCCGTTTAATAAATACGCCCATAAATGATCCGATCGAATGTTGACAATTGATTGTTTATACATGTTTGTATCTCGTTGTTTCTCACCAAACTCATCATCATCTTCCTCCTCGTCAAGATCAATATTATCTGTGACACCACAATCGTTGCATAATTCAGTTGTATGATTAATTGACGTTTTACCATACTTCGATGAACCTAGATCTGATCCAATAAATGACTATAATTGATTTCCAATTCCACCAAATTTGTTTTTTAAATCAAGATATTTTGATTATATGTGATTAAAGTCACTATATAAATCGTCGTGATCAATCGTTTGATTAACAACAAAAGTGCAACATTGTAGAATGTGTTTCCATTCGATGTTTTCTATTTCGAGTTCACTAAAAATCGAAATTGATTGATAAAGTAATTTATATTTGTTATAATATTTCTCGATATATTCGATCACCGTACGAATAAAACATTTAAATGATGAATTCAAACCTTCAATTTCTTTAACTGAATAATCTTCCATCAGTTGAGAAACTTTACAACCAAAGAATTCATCATTCAAACGATTCTTTAGTTTACGAAGTAAATTTGAAATAATACCGTGTAAATTAACACCGGTTGTGTACTCACGCTGTAACAATAAATTTGCATTTTGTATCTCGAGCAAAACATTTGCTAAAAAGTACAATGTGCATTCACATATATAAACGAGATAAGTTAACATATAAGCGTGTGCATTTTCAAATCGAGGCCATCACCTTTACGTGATGTAAAGAAATCCAATAATAGACTCGAACGTTCACCTTCATCGAGATTTAGAAAATAACTTTTAACAATTGGATGAACAGCAATGAGACGTTCGATAGAAGGTAAAAGACTCAACCATCTAATCTTAATGTGTTTCAGAATCACCTAAATTAAATGTATATATAGATACAATGTCCAAAATCATAACATCATCAGTTACCTTTTGATCTTGTTCAATAAAATCAAAGTAATTGTTCAACTCTTGAGCACGAACGGATGATCGACAAAAATGCGAATAAATTTTCAAAAGTGCTGATTCTACATCGAATAATAAATATCCATTTTCATGTTTCACTGAATTGTGAAGAACATGTGAGTAGCATGTGCCTAAATCAAGTGAACGAAAAAAGAAGTTATTGATACAAGTTTTGGTATAAGACTCTTGTTACCTTTTACTACTTTGGGTAATAATTTTTCGAATAACGAGAAAACACTATGATGATCGCCAACATTTACATTGATATTATCAAATCCGAGTGAAGCTAATTGTTCAAGTCTTAATTCAGGTGCTTCTAATACATATTTAATGTTTTTGAATAAAGCATCGGCTGATTCATCGCTTTGTTCAATGAAATCCAATATACCGCGCCGAACACCGAATCTCGAGATGAATTGTACAGCAATTGGAAGCATCTTAGCATTTCCTTTGTTCGAAGCATCATAGCAGACGGAAAAAAAGAAATGTTTCTTAATTCACAAACAATTTCATCTGTAAGCAATGGAGCAAGTACACTGCATGCTATTTCACGAGTCCTCAAGGTAAATATCATTCATTATAGCTATAATTCAGTATAAAAATATCAATATTATTTTAGTTTTGCCACAACTAATGTTTTTTACGACAAGGCAATCAGAGAAACAATTTTTTATGATATCACTTGTACAACCTTGAGAAATATACCTACGCGAATGTTTAACTGAGTGACAAACCATCGCTCCTCCTACCGCAGACAAACGATTAAGCTCCGTTGTTGTTATATAAAATGTTGAATCAAGTGGTTTTGCTAGAATTCCTTTTTAAATTTATATGAATAGATTAGAATGATAAACCTTACTTGGATTAGCTTCAACGGCTTTCGTACATTGTTTGTGTTTATTTGTTTCAATATAATGATGAATATCACCTAATCCACTGTTTTGGATAGAAAATTGGATGTTGCAAACGATGCATAAAGCTTTCATTGTATCACTTTTAAATTCGCATAAAAACGACGACAAATGAGAATTCGATAACCATTCCCTTTTAAATTTCGATGAATAACGTTTATTTGATTTGAATGATAGTCTTTTGAGAAGTATTGGCTTTGCAGCCGTTGGTGATGAAGTGAAGATGGCATTTCGTTCAAGTGTTGATTGAAATTGTTTTACCGAATCATTATCTATTGAGGATGACAATTCATCGGATATTTCGATAATTTCAAATGACTATGAAGAAGACATTAAGGAAAAAAACGAATATTTCTATAAAACTTATGGATTTTATTGAGAAACAATGAGAGGAGAGAACAAAAACGATTTATTTTTTTATCGGCTATACTATCCAACATTTTACTAACAGCAAGTGTCGCTGATTATTAATCAGAATNAAAATAATAGTCAAGAAGGAAAAGTTTCAAAAACTACCATACATTTTTTGTACGAAAAAAGCTTGAAAAGTTGACTCTTGGGAAAGAAGGATGCCGCGATATTTTGCAAAATCTAAATCGGTCAAAATGATTGCCTCATTGAGCTCTACAAACCCTGAAATTTTCACGTTGAAAGGAAATACTTTTGTATAACGTGGTAGAAACCCCATGGAAACACCCATGTATATATATTTTGTCTATGGTAAACTTATACGATTGTATGTTGTGAGAAGTGTTCCGCCTTAACATCAGGGTCGACACCCTCCGCAGATAGTCAAATAGGTTAAAAATCACACAATTAGGTCTAATACGCCTGAGTACATAACTCAGAAATGATAATAAAATTCAGTAATAACTCAGCCTTATTCATGGTGTCTGTTTTCTATTCGCTATTGTATATCTGACACATCCCATCAGTCTGATGTCCTTAACACAGTCAATGTCAGCTTACTTTCATCAATCTACCTTTATACTTAAGAAAAGTAGCCAGGGAATCTTGGGTACATCACAGTATTTATCAACGACAATCGTTAATTCGTATTCATCATATTAATCTGTCTCTTCCTATCCATATATCTAACTTAGTTTCACGTATTTCATCAATCTATTATTGTTTATATATATATATATATATATGTTTATGTGACGAATATGATCTTTTCAATCAATCCTGTCGTTTTCTCTTTTATTTTGTCAGTAAAATTCAGACTCATTCATCTACTCAATCTCATCAAGCATTCATATCAATGTTGCTTTTCGTTTACACACATTCTCTAACATCAATTCAGTCTCAATTATTTCACATTCTGATGAATATTGCTTTTATCTTACTTATTTGGTCGATAGAACTCAGTCTCACTCATCTACTTTATCTCATTGAACATTCGTATTAATATTGCTTTTCTCTTGCTTAGATGATTAATAAAATTCAAACTTACTCATCTAATTTATCTTATTAAATATTCACAGCAATACTACTTTTCTTTTTATACATTCGCAACAACGTCTGCAATATCAACAGCGTGTCAACAACGAAGTCAACAGCGTGATAAACTTTCTCACAACAATTAACATATTATTTATCTATGTATATGTTTATGTAATTTCGTGGTTTTAATAAATATTTCACAATGTCAGTCCTGATGATGTGCTCCGCCAGAGTACGAAAGCTCGAATCCTCATCTTTTATTTCTGCATGAAATAAGCCTTTCTCATGATCTTTGCGGCAGTTTTATCTTTCTTTTCTTATTTTTTATTTAATCCTTATTTGAAGTGTATCCTGATAAGAAAAAGGACATTTATTTGCCGTATAGATTACAAAAAGCTTTCTCAGACTTTATTCGAATGTTTATCAATTGAATGTTGTGCAAGTTTATAAATATGTCCATATTTTTAGTGTAACAAAGATGCAGCAATGGAGTACTAATATGTTTTCTATTCTCGTTCTATTATTTTTCAAATCTACGACTGCAGATAGAGATTGTCTATATTCTTGTATGTATATTACATTAAATAACAAGACAATAATTTATTATTAATAAATATTTTCTATTAAGTCGGTAAGACCTGTTCACTTGGAACATCGGTTTGGTGTTGTCCTTGTAAGAAAAAAAAGTTTGTTTATAAAAGATTGAAAATGATTTGCCTAAATTTTAGTCATAAAAGATGAATCAATTGTGGCATGTGGAAAGGAGATCGGTATTTGTGTTCCTATACCTATAAAAGATCTATATCCTACAACTCCTCATCATACGCAACTAGATCCATCTCCACTTCCAATCGGTCTACGAATACTTCTTGGTGTCATTGGTGGTACGTGTGGATTTGTCGCGATATTATGCCAAATTCTTATCATAATCCACAACTGTGGTTGCTGCACTTCTAAAATTTCTGAAGATAATCAGCAGAAAAGACTCAACCTAAATGATTTTACACAAGATAATAAGGAATTGTCAGTATCAACAATTTCTGTTCTATTCGACGCACTACCACCTTCATACGATATTTCTATTGATAAAGATCTTCACGAAGTTTCGCCACCATCGTATGATATTGTAACGACTGGTTTTAAGCTTGATGCACAACCATCTCTTAAAACAATATCGATCGAGGACGTGATTTTACATGTCTAATCGGAAATTTTTCTGTTAACAACCGTCGTAGAAACTATTTAATCTACAACTACGATGGTATACTTTTCAATAAGAATATATCATGAACAGATTTTTGAGCAAAAATTAACTTTTTTCCAAGATAAAATGTCTTTTTGCAAATGCTGATTATCAAGGGAAAAGCTAGTTAAATTACTTTTTAAATAAAAGGAAAATCATGTCCTTTTACCAAATTAAAATGTAATCGAGTATGAAGAAAGCGTTATATACCCCTGGAAATGAAAAGCTGCAGTCAGTATTTTGCGTTTTTTGTCATCATAAAAAGGTACTTTTTTAAAACCAATACCATATTCTGAACAGGGATGCCAAATATAAATTTTCAAAATCAGGATTTTTCAGAAAAAAATCAGGAGTTTATCAGGAGATTTTTCATCTCAAATCAGGAGGAAAATCAGGAGCTGTTTGTACGGAATCCCAAAGGTTATTAGATGACATTCCACTGGATTATCCCAAGCACTAACCTGCTTGATCAATGCGAATACTTTCCTGCATTTTGATGGCAGAATAATTACTAAAAAAATTTCTAATAATCGAGTGAGAATCGAAAACATAGAATTGAAGGATTTTTTCATCGATATTTATTTCATGAATAGTTATTCAAACATTGAAAAAGACATAGAAAATCAAAATCAACTAACTATTAATTTACAAATCAAAACGTATCAAGTAAATGTATACATGATCATTATTTTCAAACGATTCGTGGAATCTTTGCAACATGACTATACTTATCTGACGATCGAATTTTTTTCAGCAAATCGGGTTTTGTCAAAAGATATTTATAAAACTCTTTACACGTTAAATGAGTATTCACTTGGATTTTCAACTCGGCTCCCACCAGATCGTGGCTCATCCGACTTCGATTGTTACTTCACAAATATTTCATGTGGCTGAAGATGGACTCACAGTAAGCATTCGAGGCAGGAATAGAAAAGACAAATTCGATCAGTTTTCGTAAATTCGGTGTACGTTCTCCATTTAACAAGTATGCCCATAAATGATCCGTTCGAATGCCATTGGTTGTCTTTTTACGTTTATATATATTTGAATCTTGTTGACGATCATCAAAACCATCATCGTCTTCTTGTTCTTCGGTAGGATCAAGATTATCTTCGACCTCACAATCGCCACATAACTCAGTTACATGATTAATTGTTGAGTTTACATACTTCGATGAACCTAAATTTGATGTAATAAACGATTGCACTTGATTTCCAATTCCACCAGATTTATCTTTTAAATCAATGTATTTTGATTTAATGTGATTGAATTCATCATATAAATGATCAAAATCAATGATTTGATTGACAACAAAGGTGCAACATTGCTGGACACGTTTCCATTCGATTTTGTCGATTTCGAGCTCAGCAAAGATAGAAATTGATTGATAAAAGAGTTTATATTTGTGAAAATATTTCTCGATGTATTCAATCACCGTACGAATAAAACATTTGAATGATGAATGTAGCTTTTCAATTTCTTGAATTGGATAATCTTCCATCAGTTGAGAAACTTTACAACCAAAAAACTCGTCATTCAAACGACTCTTTAATTTACGAAGTAAATTCGAAATGATACCATGCAAATTGACACCAGTTGTGTACTCTTGTTGTAATAGCAAATTTACATTTTGAATCTCAGGTAAAATATTTGCCAAAAAGTGCAAAGCACATTCACCTATACATAAACGAGCCAAAATAACATATAAGCATGTATGTTTTCAGATGAAGAGCATTACTTTCACGTGATGTAAAGAACTTTAGTAATAAATCTGAACATTCATCCTCGAGATTGAGAAAATAACTTTTAACAATTGGATGAACGGCGATGAGACGTTCGATAGACGGTAAAAGACTTAACCATCTGATCTTAATATGTTTCAAAATCACCCAAATTATATGTATACATAGATGCAATATCCAAAATCACAACACCGGTAGTTACCTTTTGTTCTTGTTCAACAAAATCAAAGTAATTCTTCAATTCTCTCACACGAACAGATGATCGACAAAAATGAGAATATATTTTCAAAAGTGTTGTTTCCACATCGAACAATAGGTGTTTATTTCCATGTTTTACTGAATTATGAAGCACATGTGAATAACAAGTTCCTAAATCAAATAAATAAGAGAGAGGTTGTTGATACGAGTTTTTTGCAAGGATCTTTCTTACCTTTCACCAATGTAGGTGATAATTCTTCAAATAACGAAAAAATACTATGATATTCTCCTACATTGACATTAGTGTTATCGGATCCGAGTGAAGCTAATTGTTCAACTTTTAATTGATGTGCTTCTAATACATATTTAATATTTTTGAATACAGCGTCGGCTGATTCCTCACTTTGTTCAATAAAATCCAGTATACCACATCGAATGCCAAATCTAGAGAAGAACTGTACAGCAATTGGAAGCATCTTGACATTTCCCTTGTTCGAAGCATCATAGCAAATGGAAAAAGAAGAAACATCTCGTAGTTCACGAACAATTTCATCTGTTAATGACGGGGCAAGTACGTTACAGGCTATCTCACGAGCCTAAAAGATGAATGTTATTCATTATGGTTACAAATTAGTTTTAAAAGATATTAATATTACTTTTGTCCTGCTGCAACTAATGTTCTTTCCAACGTGAGAATCAGAAAAACAATGTTTGATCATATCCATTGTGCAACCTTGAGAAATGTAGCTGTGAGAATGTTTAACCGAATGAAAGACCATAGCTCCTTCAACAGCAGTCAAACGATTAAATTCTGTTGTTGTTATACCAAATGTTGCATCAAGTGATTTTGCTAGAATTTTTACAAAATTCAGTTGGGTAGTTCGAAAGGAAAAGTCTCACTTCGATTAGCTTCAGCAGCTTTTGTACTTTGTTTGTGTTTATTTGTTTCAGTATGACGATGAATATCACCTAATCCGCTGTTTTGAGTAGAAAACTTCCCGTTGCAAACGATACATAAGGCTTTTGTTGAATCATCTTTACACTCCCGTAAAAGCGACGAAAAAGGAGGAATGGATAACCTTTGTTTGAATTAGATGATGATTTCTTGACAACTATTGGACTTGAAATCGTTGATGATGACAATTCATCATCTATTTCAATAATTGCGCTCGAACATGAAAACGACATTGAGAAAACAACGAATATATTTACTATTTGAATTGGAATAAATGTTTGTATAGATTTTTCTGGTTTTAACTGAGAAGTCATGAAAGACGGAAACGAAAAATAAAATCTGTTATTGGCTACAGTCTTCAATTCAACATTTTTATCAACAGAAGATGTCACTGGTTATTCACCGGAAAAAAATCAAAATCAGTAGAATCAGTAGAAAATGATCGAAATCAGCTCCTGAAATCAGGAGATTTTTTATCAGGAGAAAATCGACAAAATCAGGAGACTCCTGCCCAGATCAGGAGATTTGGCATGCCTGCACGTAATTATCCAGACTTACAAGACCTAGCAACAACCATATTGTAGATATTTGTTGGTATTTGATTATCTGAACAGTTTGATCTTAGCACGTATGAGAATTCCAATGTTGCTGCGACACAATTAATCAAAACAATCGCCAAAGAATCAGGATGCACAGAATGCACATCCGCAACTTCATCCACATATTTTGCCAACGGTGGCGAAAACATAACGCTTGCCAAAATCCTCACTTTACTTGCATTGTCAATGTTGCGACATATGTAATTCATTCCAAAAATTCCAACGTCTTATTCACTTTCCATTGATCTCACGGAATACCATGCGATCTTTCGATTTTCTTAAACATAGTCCTATCAGATTATACTACTACACGAATCAGAAAAACATCAACATTTTCTAAATTGCCTCTTTCATCATATTACAAGAAATCAATGCATTTGGCATTTCTGGTGTATTTAAACTGTTTACACTATATTTCAAAATGACTTTTACAGAAAACGAAATGTAATTTAAAGGTGCCACTAATTACAAATTTCTGTAGACAACTCAGAATTCTGGATGAATTCTGCTGTGAGAAACAAAACTCTGCTTAGATTTTTGATATTCATACTACAATCGACATGTGTAGATGCACAATTCTGTAGAGAATTCAGAATTCTGCATGAATTCTGCTGTGAAGAAGTAGTTTTCGTAAGAATTTTGTTTTTATTATATTTGTTAAATAAGAAACTAATAATTATACATTTTAGCAAAATTCTCTAGTTCTGTAGTTAGAATTTCGACATCCCTCAACGAGCCACCACCTGAAGGTTATGAACTATGCAAATGTACAAATTGCGAAGAGAAAACATGGGAAGATCATGTTTTCAAGGATGACCTTGACGATGAAGTTTCAGTGTATGGTAACCTACATTTGGAACGTGTACACTCGTATACGAACAACAGGAAGTAAGTTTTGGATATACTGTGACTTGTTTGCATCTTGTATTTACGAACTATGTCTTTCAGTGCATTTATGCATATCAGAATTTCGTCCAGAGTATTTGAAGATCTCAACGATAATGATAGTTATGACGATGACGACGACGACGATTTTCCTGGACAAGCATCTTCCTACTTTTCGGAATCACCGTTTCCTTGTGGTGATCCATTTGATTCATACGATTGGGAATGCTGATAGTTCATTAAATAACTTTATATCTGCGCGTTCATACTCTACGTGTGTTTCTGTTTCTGTTTGTGTGTGTTTATTCATGTTACAAATAATAAAATCGAACAACAGAATGCAAATTGTCTTAATGTGTATTTTCTTCCGATTGATCACTTTTTTCCTCTCTTTCAACATCCACCATTATTAAATATGAATGATGTCTAGTTGACATCTCAACACAATTTGAGCAATGTACTGCGAAGTAAGATACATCATGGCATGTATAGAAGAACTTGTCTCGGGAAACGGAGAGGAATAAGATACAAAAGTAATTCGGTTTTATCACATATTCAGACTTCATACCATATGCTGGTCCTGCTAATGTGGTATGCTATGCATTCTAAGTAATGAAGTGAAGAAGAAGGAATGGAAGAGGAGGAGGAATATGGCGTCGCTCGACTCATGTTATATAAACGCTGATGTTCAAACTCAGTTCATTTCTATTGGTAATGAGATTTAAATAGTACGCTCCATTAGTCATTCGGTTAGATCACTATATGTCCGAGATTCATACCAATTTCATTTACACGTCATTTGAAATTCTAGATTAATCCTATCCAACATATATTTAGTCGTGCAGTCGATGATGGAAAAAGACGATTTGAATGAAATGAGCATGAAAAAGTTGAAACGTCATCGATCGAATTCAACTAATTTAGTAATATAATTACCGTCATATATTGTCAATGTTGTTGTTTTCATTTGCTTCATAGAACCAGCCAGTTATAAATGATGTGGCCATTATTGCATCAGATATGACTAACATATCCACACCACGTGATTACATAACAAGAGAAGTACAAAGCGTTATACCAACTGTTCTGGCGACTAACCCAGTATCAAATGTGACTGTTGAGCGTTATCCGAGGCTGATGCAACTATTTGAAATCATACCATCGTATCCTTCTAGCAACAAAATGTCAAGTGA